TCCCTGGGAGTGGCGTCTCCAGCCTCCTCACTTTCCGGAAAAGAGGAGTGCTCGGTTTGAAATACCGAAGCTGGGTTTGAGTCCCGGGAAATTCAGGACCCCCGAAGTACCAAGGGTGAAAGGCCCGGATATCTGGAATATCCAAGCATCGTGGTTTAGGCTCTCACAAGGTAAAATTAAAGTAGAGATCTGGGATCTCTGTAGGTCTGGGACCTCAGCGTGTGAACGAACGGAGGAGTGAATGTGTGAGTGAGTGATATTCTCCAAGGGATACTTTGTGATGAGGGGATGGGGCCCATGGAAACCATGGGGAGAGCAAATTGATAATGTGTTACTGGTAACAAGCAACAGAAGCAAACCTAAAGACAAACAAAACAAGAAAAAGAACAAGCGAAACGGAGAAAAAGATAAGACTGCCCAACCTCACAAGGTGTCCTGAAGGGCAGAGAGGAAGACAACAACCTCCCCTTTAAAGCCAGGAGGCGTAGGGAGGAGAACACAGGAGGATCTGGACACCGAGGTAAAACATCAAGAGGGAGTGACAGGATGGAAGAGGTGACTGGACACTTGTCTGGCTCCTGAAGGAGCAACTTCACTCAGAAGAAGAAGATGAGCTGGAAGAAGAGGAACAGGAGGAGGAAGAGGAACGGGATGATAACAAGCCGTTGATAGGCCAGGGTGCTAGAGGATACAGTTCCCCTGAACCCACAGATAGGCCACTACTAGAAGAGAAAGCTAGGCGACTTATCCAAGAGTCACAGGAGAAGGGAAAGCAAGCACAGCAAGGTAGTAGATGAGCTGGAGAAGGTAAGACGCCAGAAGAGCAACCGACAGATACTCAATCTCCCTTTGCTACAAGGAACAGGAGGGTTTGGGGAAAAATATAAGCCATGGAGCTTAGGTGTTGTACAGGCCGTAGTGGAAAAAATGCCACCTGTAGCTGATGGGGGAGGATTGTGGCTCGACCAGCTAGACAAGCTACAGCAGGACAGAAATTAGCCCTGGGGGACTGGAGAGCTGTAGCAGCCAGATGTCTCCCAGGTCATGTGATGAGGGAGATAGAAAGAGAGGGACGACTTGAGGATGTGCCTGATGAGATTCCCTTTACTCGACTAGTGATGGATGTAGGGGCAGCAATGAGAGAACGATTCCCACTACCCAATGCAGCGACAGTGCCCAAACTCCCCTGGAAAACAGACCAAAACCCACGTGATTATTTAGATAAGTGCAAGGAAACCTGGGCCAGAAACACTGGTGTGCAGCAAGAATGGTTCAGGAAGGCTGTATTGGAGGGGGTTCCAAACTCTGTTAAAGAAGCCATGCTGAGCAATCCAGACCTCCCAGGAAGTGAGTCCCAGATTTGGGAGAGACACCTAATACACCACTTGCAGAGAGCCAAAGATCAGGAAGAAGGGAAAGAGAATGAGATTGCGGACGCAGCTACTGAAGCTGCAGCTGGGGAAGGCGAGACAGGAGGTAAATGAGAAAAAGAAGGGCCCTACTAAACAGTTGGTGGCTGGAGCTCCGCCCTGACCCACATACTCCAGATTTATATCCCATCCCACCGTGGGTGGATCCACACCACCCCTCTCAGAATCAAGGGTGGAACCAACGGTCATGGGACCTCCTAGGGGAGAAACAGAGGAGGTCGTGGAAGGGGGAGAGGTAGAGGTGGGTTTCAAAGGGAAACACGAGGAGGAGGAGGCTACGGAGGATGTTTCATATGTGGAAACACCTCCCACTGGGCTAGAACTGTCCACAAAATCCTAACAACCAACAAAGAAGTCAGGGAGCTACGCAGAGACCCCACCACGTGATCAAATCTCCAATGACACCGTGCAGGTTGTAGGTTTCTCTGGGGTAGGACAGAAACTGCCAGTGACTGAATCGCTGCCAACACAACTGGGACACCAACGCTTGCTTCATCCATTTGTGGTGTCCCCTACAGTCCCTGTAAACCGACTGGGAAGAGATCTCCATAAAATTAGGAGCCACCATCTTGTGCAGCGCTGATGGACTAGTAGTTACCCTACCAGATGGAACTCAGTTTCGATGTGGATACCCTCAAACTGGACAATGGTTGTTACAACCCCTGCAGGCTCACACAGCTGACATCTATTGGGGCCTCGTGCAACCTGAGACTCCTGAAAAAGGGGGACTGATGAGCTCCTACCTCCTGTGGAAAAAATGGATCACCCTCCTCGAACCCTACACCACACCTCCAGACCCTCCCCATGTGACGCTCTTCTATGACAGACAAGAAACACAATGGTATCAACAGTCATTTGGTAACCTTGTTGAAGGTCACATCTGGCAGATGGGCGTGGCCTCTGCTACCAATCTTACTTCTGAACAGATGGAGAGGTACATGATGGGAGAAGAGGCGGTCCCACATGTCTCACTCTTTACATACTAAACATCAAGCAATCAATTTTGTTCTTTTGATATATATTAAATATTAATATATATTCAGTCAAATTATTTCAAATCCTTGGATACTCATGTGCATGTTTAGCTCAGTTGGTAGAGTGTGGGACTCCCGTTGCAGGAGTTGTAAGATTGATCCTAAAATCCTGCAGACTTTTTTTTCTCCCTTGCTAAATAAATTGATGTCTTTTTCACATGCTCACAATAATGCATGTGTCGCAGTGCTTGTACGTCCTGGCGTTTGATCTATGGACGCTTATTTTCATTTCCCTGAGGAAATTCAGGGGAATCCAATCACTCGTTTATGGACGGCTTTTTCAGTGGTGTGTCAAGAAAGCCAGAGACTCTTTCGAATGTTCTTCAGAACTTTTCAAAGTAAAGGCTCTCAATAAACTCAACAAAAAACGTTCTTGCGTTTTTATTTTGGAGGCACAATCACTTAAGTAATTATGTGAGTGTTGCTGTCACGACTCAGATCTATTTAAGCATCAGCCGCTTTAATTTTTTTATTTTTCTTTTATCAAAGCAATCTAGCCGGCACCTATTGCCAACCGCTGCCCTAGGGGCTAAGCCCCCCCCTGTCTTTCAATCCTAGTGACGTCCCTGATTTTAGGAAGTGTAGCATGTAGAGATTTTAGATTCATTATAGCCTAACTCCTACTAGGGGGTAAAAGTCAGGATTTCTCGGCCTCTGCTGCTTCGATAGTTATTAGTCCCCCAACTTAACACAAGTATGCATTATTGCAATGCTTAAACCATCAACTGCTGAGAAACACTGTTTGATGCTGTGGCTGTTCAGGTCTGCAGGTTCAGATGAGTCTAGTACTAAAAAAGGTTAAGTGATTCATTTGAGTATAAAAAGGCTCTAAGATGAAATCAAGGTGGTAACATATTCAATATACGATTGCTTTAAAAGTACAGAATATGATGCACTTTCGATGTCTTCAGCCAATCTTACATGCTGTATATTTATGAAACACCTTGTGTGTAGGTTATTTATTTATTCATGGTTATTTTCATTTCCATCACTGATCATGGGATGTGCTCAGAAGCCTTGATTGAAGTTTATAACAACTGTATTCAAGATCATTTCATTTAACAAAAGGAGCATTTGATATAGTTTTCGTAACTGAGGGAACTACCATCAATTTGTAAGGAATATTACATGCAAACACAACTTCTGCTCTTGCTCCTTCACCTGACAAAAACAGGATGTGTTGACAGGTTAATGTGTTTAAAATGTCTTTATGCACAAATTGAGGGGACACTCTGTTGACTTCCTGGAAACTCACCCTAAGCATAAACACTATATGCCTAAAACCAACCCCTTCCCTAACTTTAACCTTAAACCACGATAATATTAAATCATTTTAAGTTGTTGGGATATGCATTTCTTCATAATGTGACTAAACTGATTTTAGTCCCCATATAAGAAATACATTATATCCCTAAACTTCACTAAAAATATGGTTTGGCCTTAAACAGACAGTGTCATAATGACAAAAAAGAGCCATTAAAGTTATTTTGAATGTTTTGTGACGCATGTATCAAAGCAAAAACAAGTCACTCAACAACCTGGACTGAACTTACATAAAATCATTTGACAAAAACATACAATTTGTAAGCAGTGTATAATAAAGAGGATAAATAAAACCACTGTTATTTCAGATCCAATTGAATTGATAAAATTAATTTACTAAGCGTGTGGTGTATATTGATTTAACTCTAAACTCGTCCACATCATGTCAACTTCCTCGGTTTTATGTCGTTTTCAGCCTGCCAGAGACATGAGGCGTGAGACACGAGACGTAAGAAGACAGGTTAAGTGTGACAGGTCACCTCCATTAACCTGGCCTAAATTCCCTCACAGACACAAACAGCTTGAGAGATTTTACAGGCAGGTGTGGTTACCTCTGTGGGCAGCTGGCTACTGCTACTGATCACCTCATTGCTTTCTGAAGGAGAGTTCATATATTAAACATTTGTTTCTGTGCTTGCAAAAGGAACTATTGGAAATTTAGGAGTCTTTCTTTGAGTTGTGGATCACTAACTGTTTGTATGGAATCAGAAGGTGCTCAGCAGACTTTTATCTGCCACATGAAGATTTGACTTTTTTAAGAAAATTGCTGATTCAGAACAAGCAGTCCTCAGTCTGTGCAGAAATACACTCCAATTAGTATCTGATCCTAATATGATGTCTGGTTTAGACAAACAAAGTTAGAAGTCTATTACAGTCTTCTTCATTAGGATATTCCCTCTTCTGTCCCTGTCCCCTCTGTCACGGCAGCTCAGGAAGGAAACGCTGTCCTGTAAACACAAAGTGGGGATTTTGTACTAAAAGGACAGTAACTTTGGGAGATGAGCACTTTGTTTGTCTAACTTAGACGACTTAAGCCTCATATTCGTTTCATATGAACTTTTTTTAGCAAGGGATCTCTAAATGTCCAGTATGAACAAGATGAATGATACAGCAAATACTTTTGTTTTAAGATAAACCTTTGTCTTGTGGTCCTTTAACTATTTATTAATAATTTTAAACTTTAACATTAATGAGAAATAATATTATGGTCTCACAAACTCTCACTCTCACCACACTTCAGACTAGTAAGAGACAAACTGGATAAATGACATACTGCCCTGCTATGAGCTCTGTTAGCAACATCATGTGTACAGATTGGTTTCTATTTTACTGCAAAAAACTGTTGTTTTCAAAGTTAATGCATGCCCCGAAACGATGGAGCGCTTTTCATTTCAGATTTTACAACTTCAAAAAGATGTAATAAATGTTCTGGTTAATCAGATTGGAATACAAACTCAATGTCAAAGACTTAAATGCAGCTAAAAATAAAGTTTATAACCATTTACATTTTTTAAAAAGTGTTTCCAAGCTGTCACTCATCAGGCCAAACACAAGAGTCTTACTCACTATTTTCCTTGCAAGACAAAACAATACAAAACATGTAAAGAAATGTAAATACTCAGTTTGAAATGACAATAAAATACAAATTCAGAAAATGAGCATAAAAATATTGGCAATAGGTGTGAATGACTTACATTGTAACAGTTGTGATCATATAATAATCAAAACAGTAAAAAAAACAAAGACAAAGAAAAAAAACATTGTCCTGAAAAGATGGAAGTGTATTATTAAGTACACTGATCTAAAACTAACGCCGTTCAACACAACTGTCCTGTGATAAATCCTACTTTCATGAAGGTTTTAATGTAACCGTTAGGGAGGTATCTAATATTTAATCTACCTGTCCTTCATTAATATAAGATGTAAATGAAATATTGTTGCCTTAATTCTGCACTCTTAACCAATTCTGTCTTGAGGAAAAATGTAATGGGCCCATCGAAAGTCCATGCATAAATACAGACCACAGATCCATGTTGTCATCACACTCAGTGGCTTCTATTAACTCTGCTGTACAGGGCAGATACATCCTCCACAGCTGCTTGACGCCTTGTTCTGTGAAGAAATCAATAATTAAAAGAAGAACACTTAACAAGAAACATAAAACCATAAAAAGACACATGCAACAGCAAAAATGTGAGATTAAATTCTCTGACACTTTCAAACTGAATGTGTATTTTATTTAAATCAAACAGCAACAAAGATTGTCCTGTGTGAAGAGCTGCTCACCCTGCAGCACTGTTGAAATTCGGGTTTGCGTAAACAACCTCCTCCTCGTTTCTGAGGGGCTGAGCTGGGCTGAAGTTGGAGTAGAGAGCCTCTGACTCGTTCCTAACGCACTGTACGCTTGCATACTGAAGTTCATCTGTCTCCTGCCACATAGACAAGAGGACTTTTACATTTTCCATGTACTGCTTACAAGACAAACAGAACTCAAGTGTGACTTAAGGTAGTAAATAAGACTGTTACTGCACTGCAGCATGACAGGACCATGAGTGTGTTCAGCCTAATTTGCTAAACTAAAAAACCAAAGTACTGAAGCTTGATACTGAAAATCTGTTTTGTGTTGTAATACCTTGTGCTCACCAGCAGAGGTCAATAGTATTCATATTTTACTTACACTATTATTTACAAGATGACAGTCCTGTCTGTTCATTTTAACAGGGGAACAGTGTGCCAGAAGTATGGCTGGATAAAAGCTGCTTAATTTATTTTGGGAAGGAAAAGTTTCTGAAGTCTTAACAGTCATATGTTGTATATGGTGCCCACATGTACAATAAAACAGGTTTTGCTTTCTGTAATTATTCCATCTGATCATACAAGCCATCAGGTTGAGAAACAGATAAAGGAGAGCGTGGTTAATTTGGGTGAAGAAAGTAGTCAAAGAAGGATGTGATGCACCTACAAGATCAGCATGTTTTAGTTTGTACCTCTGCTCTGTTGTGTGGTCTCTCACCAGCCTCAGGTTGTTGTTGCAAAGACCTCTCTCTTCTGACAGGAGAATAAATAAAAGAAGCAAATGAATAACTAAACACATTTCTTCAAGCAAACATGACTACAATGCTAAAATGCCCATATGTACATTGAGAGTTATTGTTACAGCAAAATCACGATGAATGTAACAAATAAATCCCTCCCTAAAGTAGTTTCAATGTAAGTGATGGAGGACAAAATCTAAAATCCTCATTCTGTGCTAAAACGATGAAGCTAATAAACTTCTCAGTTAGACAAATCAAGTGGGAATCTTCCACAATTAGTTTTTTAATATGGAAGGAAGTCCTGCATCACTTACATTGAAACTGCTTTAAGAGGGGATCTCTTGAGGGTCAGTATTAACAGGAGGAACCATTACAGCTAACTTTAAATGCACATACGAACATGTGACTAGTGCTTTGAGACTGAGTTAAAAAATGTGAATATACATACATTTAATCACAGAGAAAGTGATCTGCTCACCTAATCCACAGGACGACAGAGAGAAGAAGAATGAAGACCAGAACAACAGCACTGACTGATAGAGCAACTGGAAATTTCAATGAACCTGGAAAACAACAATCAAGCACAAACACTGGAAAAGTTTTAGAAATTCTTAATTCCAAAAGCGAATTAGTGATAAATGGACACTAACAATGGTTAAATGTGTTTTCTGGGATCAGTTTTTTTCAAAGCTTAAAAATAATCCTAACTAAAGTTAGCTGAGCTTCTGTAACCCAAGGTAAGCTCAAAGATGTGTGTGGCTGTAAACTCTGCAGTTAACAGGTGTGTGTAGGTAAATTATAAAACCTTACCTGCAACAACAGTCAGATGTAAGATGGAGTTATGACGTCCTCTTCTGTTCTGGGCTTCACAGTAATATTTCCCACTGTGTTCAGCTCTGAAGTCAGTGATGGTGAAGTTCTGTCCTGATGCTTTTGGTGAGTCTTCATTCTCCTTGTACCAGGTGTATTTAGCTGCTGGGTTAGCATCACTGCTGCAGGTCAGAGTCACTGAACTGCCCTCCACTATCTCAGCAGAGGGACTCACTGACACAGAGGGAAGCTTTGGAGCATCTGGAGGAAAACATGTATAGAAATACTAAGGAAAACAAGATTTGGTAGTTGTGAGTAGGCTTATTGCCAGTGTTGTGTCTCAGTAAAAAAACTACTATCAGGAAATATCCCCCCAAAGCCCTATTTGTGTCCTCAGCACGCTTCATGTTACTCCATGATTTGGTTTGTGGTCTACAGTAACAGGGTTCTTTCATACCTAACCTGTTTGGTCCAGTTAAACAAACTCTGATCCGTTTGCCCAGTTAGTACCAGTCTGTCTTCACCAGAAAAGCGACCATATTATGTTGTTTGACTCATATTTACTTTTTTTGTGGCTGAGACCTCTAGTGGCCGTATGACGGTAGCAAAGGAAGAACAGGAGACGAGCATTCAAGTCCCATGTGACACCAAGTCAGTGTTATTATTTGAGTTCAAGTTAAATAGTGTTACTGACTTACCTCATGTGAGTTAAGTCACATGATGTATTGGACTGACATCATGTGACGGTTATATATGTAGTTTTAGAAGGCACTGACAAATGACCTAGTTTGTCATTTAGGTAAGAGGACGTGTTGGTTAGTTCGGTTCATTTAGGCTGATGTGAAAGCTGCCAATCGAACTCTGCTGAGATCAGGAACGCAACAGTGGATCATTTTTTCCCTGGTCTGGACCAAATGAACCAAACGACAGTTGTGGAAGGAGCCTTAGAAGATAAGTCAAAACGTTTACGTTGTTATCCAGCAGCAGCTTGCGTCTTAAAAAGCATTTTGTTGACCTCACAGATGTCTACTTTCTGTCTGGACATATTAAATGTTAGCTCGGAGCAAAGCCAATGTCCAATATTTTCTCAGACTGTGCCGCTCTGCTCTTCTCCTTTGCTGGAAGCTGCAGTCTGTGGAAATACTGCATTGAACTTTTTCACTGGGCAAACCCTCGGCAGACAGTGGACATCAGTGGAATTACAAAAATATATAACCTGTCACTGGATAACATTTAAAAAACAATGTGTATGGAACGCTGCGTGAATGACAGAGTAACGTCAGGACACCAATGGGGCTAAACCTTCTGCTGCAGCTCAGCAAAGATTCACTGTCTGAACAAACACCAAAAGGAAATTTTGCACTATAACAACTGTAATTTTGGAAGTTACAGTTGATTCATGAAACTCAGACTGCTGAAGCCTCAAATTAGCTACATGTGAACTCTGAAATGCATGTTGCTCTACGAAGGTATCTCTTCTTCACCAGGAGGAATGATTAGTGACCAAAAACTATTTTAACGTACAAATGGCATGTGACTATATTATAAGTTAGCATTAAATAATCTGAAATGATCCTTTAAACCCCTGTGATGCTACTTTAGAACATGATAACGTTAACGAGCTCATAAACTCACATTAACATTCACTATCTGTAATTAAACACATTGTATGTGGAAGCGCTTTGCGGATGTTTTGTACTTACACTGGACATCTATGGATACAGATGTGGAGTTGATCTGGCCATACTCATTCTCAGCCTTGCAGTGGTAGATCCCGCTGTCCTTAGAGCTGATAGAGGTGAAATGATAAATGTCCTCTGGTCCCTGAATCAGTGTTTGGTTCTCCTTGTACCAGGTGTATTTAGCTGCTGGGTTAGCATCACTGCTGCAGGTCAGAGTCACTGAACTGCCCTCCACTATCTCAGCAGAGGGACTCACTGACACAGAGGGAAGCTTTGGAGCATCTGGGGGAGAACATGTATAGAAATACTAAGGAAAACAAGATTTGGTAGTTGTGAGTAGGTTTATTGCCAGTGTTGTGTCTCAGTAAAAAAAACTACTATCAGGAAATATCCCCCCAAAGCCCTATTTGTGTCCTCAGCACGCTTCATGTTACTCCATGATTTGGTTTGTGGTCTACAGTAACAGGGTTCTTTCATACTTAACCTGTTTGGTCCAGTTAAACAAACTCTGATGCGTTTGCCCAGTTAGTACCAGCCTGTCTTCACCAGAAAAGCGACCATATTATGTTGTTTGACTCATATTTACTTTTTTTGTGGCTGAGACCTCTAGTGGCCGTATGACGGTAGCAAAGGAAGAACAGGAGACGAGCATTCAAGTCCCATGTGACACCAAGTCAGTGTTATTATTTGAGTTCAAGTTAAATAGTGTTACTGACTTACCTCATGTGAGTTAAGTCACATGATGTATTGGACTGACATCATGTGACTTATGTCACGTCAGTTAAATCTCTTGATTTATGTGACATCAGTCATGTGACTTACATAACGTAGTTAAGGTCTGGTAAGCCTGTCGCTGGACTGGTACTTTACGACGGTTATATATGTAGTTTTAGAAGGCACTGACAAATGACCTAGTTTGTCATTTAGGTAAGAGGACGTGTTGGTTAGTTCGGTTCATTTAGGCTGATGTGAAAGCTGCCAATCGAACTCTGCTGAGATCAGGAACGCAACAGTGGATCATTTTTTCCCTGGTCTGGACCAAATGAACCAAACGACAGTTGTGGAAGGAGCCTTAGAAGATAAGTCAAAACGTTTACGTTGTTATCCAGCAGCAGCTTGCGTCTTAAAAAGCATTTTGTTGACCTCACAGATGTCTACTTTCTGTCTGGACATATTAAATGTTAGCTCGGAGCAAAGCCAATGTCCAATATTTTCTCAGACTGTGCCGCTCTGCTCTTCTCCTTTGCTGGAAGCTGCAGTCTGTGGAAATACTGCATTGAACTTTTTCACTGGGCAAACCCTCGGCAGACAGTGGACATCAGTGGAATTACAAAAATATATAACCTGTCGCTGGATAACATTTAAAAAACAATGTGTATGGAACGCTGCGTGAATGACAGAGTAACGTCAGGACACCAATGGGGCTAAACCTTCTTCATGAAACTCAGACTGCTGAAGCCTCAAATTCGCTACATGTGAACTCTGAAATGCATGTTGCTCTACGAAGGTATCTCTTCTTCACCAGGAGGAATGATTAGTGACCAAAAACTATTTTAACGTACAAATGGCACGTGACTATATTATAAGTTAGCATTAAATAATCTGAAATGATCCTTTAAACCCCTGTGATGCTACTTTAGAACATGATAACGTTAACGAGCTCATAAACTCACATTAACATTCACTATCTGTAATTAAACACATTGTATGTGGAAGCGCTTTGCGGATGTTTTGTACTTACACTGGACATCTATGGATACAGATGTGGAGTTGATCTGGCCATACTCATTCTCAGCCTTGCAGTGGTAGATCCCGCTGTCCTTAGAGCTGATAGAGGTGAAATGATAAATGTCTCCTGGTCCCTGAATCAGTGTTTGGTTCTCCTTGTACCAGGTATAATTAGCTGCTGGGTTAGCATCACTGCTGCAGGTCAGAGTCACTGAACTGCCCTCCACTATCTCAGCAGAGGGACTCACTGACACAGAGGGAAGCTTTGGAGCATCTGTGGACAAAAGAGAGACAACTTGTCAATATTTGTTTACAGGCCTGTTTTTAGGCATTTTAGGACGTTTTTCCCAGGTCACGTGCAGGCACACGCTTCAGTGAACTAAAATCTTACAATGCTTAATATATCCTTGCTTATTGAACTAATGTCTTCAGTCTGTAGATGATGATAAATCACATTTATTACACCAGTTGATGGGTGCCCCATAACACACAACAACTGTTGTTGTCAGGTGGCACCAAGTATTCTAGAAAAAACCTGCCAGAAAGTCAGACCAGCACACAGCAGCAGACCATCATGACCGCTCAAACACAGACCCACACAATGCTGAACCAGAACCAAAGACACTGTCATAATGCAGTCTGCATTATCATCTCTGATTCCTAATTCTTATTATTTTAAGTTTAGTTCAAACTGTCTCAAGTTTCAACTTACTCTTTCTTAGCAAATGTCTCCTTTGCTCTTGCTCATATTGACTATGAATGAAATGTAATCTACGCTCAGTAAAGCAGTAGTCATACATTGTTGGGGAATTGGGAATTTTTAGGTCTCAGTAATATGAAAAGTATGGTCTACATCTGCTCTACATAAAAAATGCAATGAGATGACTTTTCCTATGAATTGGGCGTTCTATAAATAAAACTGAAACTGAATACATTTGAAATAACAAACCTGGTTTTTAACATTTACTGTACCTAGCCAGGTAAAACTCCTGAGTTCCAGAGTGAAAACATATGACTTGCTTATTGTAAAAAGACTCACAAAAGATTTGATGAAATAATGAACTGTATATTGATGTCAAAATGTATCTCTACAATAACTAATCCAAAATGATATAGGCAAGTGGTGAAAATTAGTGTGGACTATCAGCTAGCTAACATCAGATGGCTCATTTTTGGTAAAAGAAATCTTAATTACGAAACTCAGAAGGTAGGAACGTTAAGTGTATTAAAGAAGCATCAACCTTCAGTGTCTCCATTAGCGTTTGAAGCCCTGGACTGGAGCAGCTGCCGTTAGGAGTGATGTGGGCAGAATTTTTTTTAATTTTGGCAAGTGCGAGTTAATTTCAACTTACATGGCTTTACTTAGAGGGGAGCCGTGTGCAATGTCCATTTGGTTGGCAAAGCAGTAGTGACATCAAATATTTCAACACAGTATCAGGCATGTTGAGAAACAGGTGATTGACCTCCTGTGGTTTTCTGCACACAACTGGCAAGATATTAAACTCAAGTTTTTCAAGCCTTACTGTGAAATGATTTGAAGAGCAGTATAGTGGCCACCTTCAGGATGAATCCTAAATCAAATCTGTCAAGCAATAATCCAAAGAATAAAATATAATCATAATAAAATAAAAATATGTCCTCTAAAGAATCACATTGTGTCGAGGAGATTATTATAGGGAGTTTTCCATTATTATGTTTCTATACAATTTCAGAAAGTCCCTTTGTTACACACAGACCTGAAATCTAAATTCAGTTTAAAAGAGGATGAGAAGTACTGATGATTGGATGTAACTGAGGCCTGCTCCAACTCCACCTGCTGTTTCTGAGTTCCTCCTGCTAATAAAGTGTTCACTCTCTCTTCCACGTTGACAGCACTGAGTCCAGATTGCACTACTGCTAAGATTTTCTCCTGCATAGATATATTTAATAAGCTGTTTGTTATTTTTAAAATAAACTGTTCCACTTACATTTCACATTAATGATGTATTCAGATGTCTTCCTCCCCAGCTGGTTCTCAGCTGCACAGTAATACTCTCCAGAGTCAGAGGACTGGATGGAGCTGAAGACAAGCTGTGGTTCTTCACTGAGCAGAGTTTGGTTCTCCTTGTACCAGGTGTGTTTAGCTGCTGGGTTAGCATCACTGCTGCAGGTCAGAGTCACTGAACTGCCCTCCACTATCTCAGCAGAGGGACTCACTGACACAGAGGGAAGCTTTGGAGCATCTGGAGAAGGTATAAACATGAATTACTGAAATGCTAGACTATGTTATAGACGACTGACTATTTTCATAAAATTTCTCTGTTTGTGTCTTTTTGATTCTCTAGTATTTGACAAAGTGGATGTCCATAGTGCTGATTCTGGATCTGTCCCAGGTCTGAATCCTGTTTGTTGAAAATGATCTAATCATTTGGTATTTTCAAAAACACAATTTGTCAGTGGTCGTAGCAGCACTTATGTGTTTCAGATTTACCACTACTAAAGACCGTCTGTCTGTCGAGTCTGTTGGCAACAAATCTTCAGAGACTGGTAACTCCATTTTAAAGCTTTACCATGAAAAATTTTAAGTTGCAGACTAACAATATGCATCCTGTCTTAATGAAAAACATTATACGTCTAATATTCCTGAATCTCAGAAATTTGACATAAGAGTTATGAGTTAAATCACAACATGAAGGCACGTGCACACATAGACATTAAAAGGGGCTTGAGCAGCTGCCAGAAAGTTTCCTGACTTAAGCAGTAACTTCATCATTTTGATCGTAGACTCCTCATCTAATAACTATCCATTCTATTAGTTTGTTGTATGCTGATAGATCTTTACATGATACAGACAGCCCTCCCTCAAATGTGAAACTAAGTCTATGACACCATCAGTTAGTGTGTGTGTGTGTGTGTGTGTGTGTGTGTGTGTGCGTACGTGAATACTAAAGAAGACCACGGTTTTTCTAGAAACAATTGCATGAGTGTGAGGGAATTAAAAAAACTTGGTAAGAAAGTCAGAGTTGTGTTAATATATTTAATGTTTGGTTTAAAAAATATTTAATAAATAATTATGAGAAGTTCCCTTTTTTAACTTGAGGCCCCGCCCACCAAAATGTCTGTGCATGTCCCTGACAACATGTATCTGAATACTGATTTCTACTGGTGGTATTTTTTTAATTTCCACAAATAATGCTGCTGTGTTTATATTAACATCTAGAAGATTCCAAGAAGACTTGTGTCTGAAATTTTAATTTGTATTGTAACGCCGCTGAAACAGTCCATTAAACTCACACACTAAAGGAGAGGGGAAATCCTCATGTCCTTTAAGAGCACAGGAGATGATGTCTCCAGGATAAAACTGATCTTTATAAGAAGATGTCTCCACCCTTTCCATTTTCTGTCCATTCTTGAACCAGACGTAGGAAGGACGATCAGGTAGACGACAGCTGCTGTGACAAAGCAGCTCTGCCTCAGTATAATTCTTGTAGACTGTTGATCTGATCACCTGAACCTGGAGATCTGGGAAGAAGAAACAGAAATATTTGTTCTTTATGTGGATCTGAATCACACTCAGACAGACACAGAGATATAAAAAATAGAACATTATGACAATCATGTAATCAGTTAATCACACATACAATTATTTCCCATCAGGATCACTATTCAGCACATTCACGTGTCATCAGATAGTTTAAATGTGCTGTTACAGTTTGTGTTCATCAGTACCTGTGACAGTCAGAGTTGTACCAGGTAAACTACTCCTCCATTCAAATCTCCATGTGTTGAATTTGAAGTGATACTCAGCTGAGTCGCTCTCTCTCAGGTCAGTGATTCTCAGAGTGGAGCGTCCTCTCTCTGTTTCAAGGACCTGAACACGACCTGCATACTGGGAGTCTTTACTAAGGTCCTCAGGCTGTGAGGGATTCTGCCACTGAAGACTACGTTCAGGACTGAACCAGAATTTAGATCTGATATATGTGTAATAACTGTTGTAAGTACAAGAAATGTCCACTGATGAGCCTTTGAAGCACAGATGCTTCTGTCAGTGTAAGTCACTCTGTTGCATGAATGACCATGGCCACCTGAAAATGAAATATTTTTGATGATTATTAAAACTATAGTCTTTACTGCAGTAATTCACAGCTGGTTGTATTGCTGTGGATGAGTTTGCTTATTTTAAAAGATACATGATAAAGAACATCAGCTAAAATGTTCAAAACAGCGTCACATTTGTAGTGAACCAGCCAGTGTGTACCCAAAAGGAGGGGGTGAAAGGTTTGCTCCACTCCCAAGTGCTGCTTGGGCAGTTTCAGCCATAAAACCTACCACCTCCGGTGAAGTTGAGATAACAGACTCTATGCATGACTATTAAAATGACAATATTAACCTTGTCCAGAGACTAACCTCACCCTGAAGCGGGCTATGAGGACCTCAGCAGCCATAAACTAAACGACCTCTAAACACTCCCAAGACCAAGAGGGCAGGGTAACCATGGTAACGAAGTTCCTCTTTCAGATTACCTCGGACATCAAAGACCCCCTTCTTCTGTCTTGACTCTCTACCCCACCAAAGAGCCATTAATTTGTGCTCTTAACATGCCCTCTCCCTTTTCACACCCAGCTGTGAAACTGCTGAGAAAACCCAGACACCAGAGGAGGACGCTTCCTTTGTGTGGACAAATGAATATTGTCTCCTTATGAACTTGCCTATTACCTTGTTTTAATTAAATGAATCTTTAACTTACTTAGTAGTTCTCGCCACTTCAGTTGAGTAATTATTACCCTGTTCTTGTTAAAAACTATGTCAGAAAGAAGGAACCACAAGTAAGTTCATTTTGTTGTGCCTTTAATCTTCAGTGCTCGCCAACATTTCTGCATTTAATCCATGTTGTAACTAATGCTTTGTTCCCAGCACTGTTTTATACTCTCTTAGAAATTATATGATACAGAAATATTACGTGCTAAATAACCAATTTTCCCAGCTCCTGAACCAAGGATTGAATTAAATGTAAGTAAAATAGTCAGAGGGGATCCTTTGTTCTATTTCATATAGGCTTCGCCCTCTAAGGCTATCACTATTGGGTTTACCCCTTCTGAGAATTTTAGTCTACGCCCACCCACAGCGTGGGCCTCTCCTACTTCCGCACCTTGTATATATACAACGGTGAGACCCAGCCATCGGCTCCCATATTGTTTCAGCACTGAGCTGTCTAAGAGCAGAAGATTTGTTTAAAGAGCAAAAGACTTTCCAGCCAGAAAACAAGAAGAACGATGTCTTCCAGCAAGCCGGCCAGAACGGGCTACATCGTGCTGGGTGATCTCCGTCCCCGCTGCGAGGCGTGCCTCGGACCGGAGCACGCCGGCCGAGCACTCACTCTCGGTTCGCATTGACCTTTCTGCGCCCTCTCCCCCCCGAAGAGTGGCAGCGCCGGGCGGATAGCTTGCCGTTCAGGACGAGGAGGTGTTAAAGTAGGCTTAACAGCATCAAAGCTACTGGATGTGTACGATTTTGGAGCTGGTAAACAGCAGTAAGCGTGAGTCATAGTACCAGTTTGTACATTTATATCATTTGTAAAATATGTTATTCCAGGGGTTTAATGCATTAACATCCATGCTGTAATGTGAACCTAAAAATGTAATTTGTTAAAAGGAATATGGTCAACGTGGTTTAAGTGAAGAAGGGAAAAAGAGAGAAATTCTGTTTACTAAAGACAGAGAACAGCCTGCTGAACGATCACAAGTGACATCTGTCTCTGCTGTTCTTGTACAAAACAGGACACAAACTCTGTTCACAGGTAACTCCTGCTTGAGGCCTGTAACGTGCGCTTATAAGTCATCTTGCTCACAGCAAGGTCGTAGGTTCAAACAGCGGTTTCCCCGGCCTTTCTAAGCTGGGACAGGCTCCAGCCCCCCCCCGTACACAGGATAAGCGGTTGACGATGGATGGATGGTAGGTACACTACACATTATTAGAAGATTGTGGAGTGAACTCACACACTGATGGAGAAGGAAAATGTCCTTTAAGGGCACAGGAATAGCTGTCTGCAGGATAAAAGTAGTCTGAATAAGAAGGTGCTTCTTCCTTAATTTTCTGTCCATTCTTGTACCAGATGTAGGAGGTTTGATCACGTAGACGACAGCTGCTGAGACACTTAAGCTGTGACCATGTACATGTTTCAGTCAGGCATGACTGTGAGCTGCTCACCTGCACCTGGAAACCTGTATCTGTAAAGAAACAACAGTATAATTTTAGAGTGAATGGTGAATTTACACACATGATAAAAGGCATACAAGATTCACTGTAGTGTTTCCCAAATGTTGAGCATTTGGAGCTAACTTACATGGTTTCCAACAAAAATGTTACCTCTGAGAGACAAAGTGACTCCAGGTGAACCAGTAAATCTTCCACCTGGCTGGTTTGTTATGAACCTGAACTTGTACTCAGCTGA